ATATTATATTATATATATATAATTTTATATCATATAAATTATTTTATATATTATTAAAATTTATATTTATTTTAATTATTTTGATTTAAGTTTAAATATAATATTTTTTGGATTTGTTATTTTTAAATTATATTTAATTTTTTTATACAAAATGTAAGTATTTAAACCACATTGCTTAATAAAAAATGATTACATTGTTTGATAATTAAGATTTTAAAATATAAAAAATTATAAATTATGTTTTTAAAATTTTAAAATATAATAACAATTAAATAAAAAATAATCATAAAATAATTTGATAAATTAAAAAATATTTTCTAAAAATATCATATAATTATAAAAATAAATTATGAATATATATTTAAAAAAATTAAAAGTATTACATAATTGTTTATTTAAAAAAATCATATAATTTAATGAATATTTATAAATTTTATTCTATAAAACTTATAAAACTAATAATATATGTGATTATGTGAGACTTATAATAGAATTAATAAGGTGGTGTTTGTTTTTCTAAAAAAATTATTATATTTTAGTTGTATGAATTATTTAAATTTCAGTATTGTAAAACTAAAATGATTTAAATCTTAGTATTGCAAAACTCTTTTAAGTTTAAAAAATTAGTTTATTTATATTTCAGTTTATTTTAGCAGTCTGCAGACGTTAAAAAACAAACAGTCTTCTTCTTGCAGACTGTAAACTTTTGGTCCACCTCTTCTTCTGCAAATATGATCCACAAACTACAGACATTTTACCTCTACAAAACAAACACCACATTATAAACCTATTTAGATACCTAATGGCAAAATGAGGTTAGACAACATTATATATAAAAATATTTTATTAACCCTGTATCTACGACATCAAGATCTACTTGGAGTTTACCGTCTTCCTATCCACTCTTCCGCTTTCTCTATCATCCTCTGGCAAATATTGTCTCTCTGTACCGTTTGAAGGACTTAATTGATTCAAATCGATTATTTCATTTACGGGGGGGGGGGGGGAACCCTAATTATTGGGGATTTTGAGAATCCTATTCCTCACAATTCAAGGTAAGCGCTTTCTAACTTCTTTCCAATATTTACGTATTTTCTCCTGTTAGGATTTCTTTAATTCATTCCCTTTTGTGCATGAAGATACATCCCTGCCACTTCAAAACAACAAAAGAAAACATTTGATTCCAGTTTTTTTGCCCCAATTCTAAACTAAGACTTCCGATTTCTGACCTATGTTTTTTCTTCTTCTTTGCAATACTGTTCTGTTCGTTCACGAGTTCACGCTCTGTTTGGTTATGAAGATAACCTGAATTTGCAAAATTAGGGGGAAAACAAAATATTTGATTTCCTTTTCTAATCCACATATATACAAGTCAACAAGTAAGTCGAAATATCACCATAATCTATTACTGATAACTTATTTCCTTCCTTTTCCGTTTAACGATAAAATAGATAAATTTGTTTTTTTTCCTAGCTTGTCTACATTATCCAAACTGACCCTTCTTCGCCATTTGTAGGTCAGCATTTGATCACTGAACTCGACATGATTATCACTTTTCCTATGACTACATATTAAGATTTATAGCTATATCATTAAAACCTATTGTTTTGTTTTGTTTTGTTTTGCTTGATTTGTTTTATGGACTGTCCTGAGCATTTTTCCATTTTTTCAAATGATTTGCAGGTCATGGCTACAAAAAAGCTAATAGCAATTTGCCAATCTGGTGGTGAATTTGTGACCGAAAAGGATGGCTCATTGTCTTATAGAGGTGGGGATGCTCGTGCAATAGACGTTGATGATCAAACAAAGTTCGGTGACTTCAAGTCGGATGTAGCGGAAATGTTTAATTGTAGAATGACTACTATGTCTATCAAATACTTCGTCCCTGGTAATAGAAAGACTCTCATTACTGTTGCCAATGACAAGGATTTAAAGAGAATGATAAAATTTCATGCGGATTCTATAACTGCTGATGTGTATATCATAACGGAAGGCATTGTTGCTCCCTAAAATTCTAACATGCCAGTCAGTGGGTAGTTTTATTCGTTTCTAACCTAAAGCTTCGTTGTAACTCTTGATATATTAACTTAATGCCAAGAGTGTTTTTCTCTCCCTTTTTTACAGGTCAAGTAGAACAACATTGTCTGAAAAAGTGCCTCCACTTGATCCACCTCTGGGTGTTGTGGATGATACCACTAAACCCAGTATTCCTCTCGAGCCCTCTCTTGATATTGTTGATGACACCAACCATATTGACGTAGACGTTGATTTGCCACCTGATATTGCATCTATTCTTCCCATTTCTGTTATTCCTTATGAGAAGCATTCTAAAGGTACTGAACAATGGCAGAACACAATTACAGGGGTGGGGCAAAGATTCAATGGTGTTGCTGAATTTCGTGAGTCACTTCGTAATTATGCCATTGCACATCGGTTTGCATTTAAGTATAAAAAGAATGATAGTCGTCGTGTGGCTGTTAAGTGCAAAATAGAAGGTTGCCCATGGAGAATTCATGCATCAAGGTTATCAACCACTCAGCTTATAAGTATCAAGAAGATGAATCCAACACATACTTGTGGAGGGCCTGCCTTGACAGGTGGGTATCAAGCAACTAGCAGTTGGGTAACTAGTATAATTAAGGAGAAGTTGAAATTTTTTCCAGATTACAAACCCAAAGACATTGTTGCTACATTCACAACTAAGGAAGACTCAAGTTTCCATCGCCTCTTTATCTCATTCCATGCCTCTTTGAGTGGTTTTGTACAAGGTTGCAGGCCTCTCCTTTTCCTTGATAGCATACCCTTGAAGTCCAAATATCAAGGAATGTTGTTGATAGCAACTGCTGCAGATGGAGATGATGGTGTATTTCCTGTTGCTTTTTCTGTTGTGGATGCAGAAACCAATGATAACTGGCATTGGTTTTTGTTCCAACTCAAATCAGCCATGTCAACATCTTGTCCTCTAACATTTGTTGCAGACAGACAGAAGGGGTTGCAGGAGTCGATCTCTGAAATTTTCGAGGGTTTGTATCATGGTTATTGTCTGCGCTACTTAACTGAGGAACTCGTTAGAGACTTGAAAGACCAATTTTCTCATGAGGTTAAACGTATCATGATTGAAGACCTTTATCGTGCAGCTTCTGCACCTAAACCCGAAGATTTTCATGCATGTGTTGAGAGCATCAAAATAATTTCACAGGAAGCTTACAATTGGGTCATGCAAACTGGGCCCCATAATTGGGAAAATTCATTTGTCCAGGGTGCTAGATATAACCATATGACATCAAACTTTGGTGAACTCTTTTACAGTTGGGCATCAGATGCACATGAATTACCTATTACACAGCTGGTTGATGTCATACGGGGGAAGATTATGGAGTTAATTTATACCCGGAGGGCTGATTCTGATCATTGGTTAACAAGGCTGACCCCATCCATGGAGGGAAAACTGGAAAAGGAGAGCTTGAAGGTCCGTTCCTTTCAAGTGCTCCTGTCTACTGGTAGCATTTTTAAGGTTCAAGGTGAGTCCACCGAAGAGGTTGTTGACATGGATCGATGGGATTGTAGTTGTAAAGGTTGGCTACTTACCGGTCTACCATGCTATTTCTGTTATCAGTTGCATTGGGCAAAGCTCTTATGATTATTAGATACTTTACAACTGAGAGCTACAGATTGACTTATGCAGAATCTGTCCAACCCATTCCAGATGTGGACAGTCCTTTGCAGAATGATTCTTCACAAGCTCTAGTAACCCCACCACCACGTAGTCTGCCAGGTCAGCCTACCACAAAGAAAGTAGGATCACAGGATGTAATGAAGCGGCAATTGCAATGCAGTAGATGCAAGGGTTTTGGGCACAACAAGGCCACTCGCAAAGAGATCTTGTAAAGTGTTGTATACTGTTAGTATTTGCTCCTTTCTCGTGTAAATCTTGCACCAGTATTCTCTGAATACGTCAATATAATGGCATTGCTTTATACCATCCATATTTGATCGAAGACTGATTCATTGAGATAGCCTATTTTTAATAGCCAGCTTGTGTGTGTAGCATTTTATGTGCATTTTTGCTTGCAGTTTTTAGAAGTTTGTCTATTTTGTTTTTGCATAATGCATGCTTATAATATGTGTCTTGCACCAGAACCTACAAGTTTTCCTTGGGCTTCAATGTCCCAATTGGCGAATATTCTGCAGTTTTCACCTCTCTGTGTCGATTTATTCCTTTCTTTAAGGTGTGTTGCTGTGGACATTTGACCAACTATTCCTCTTATATGTTGTGTTTTATAGGAGGGATCAAATTAAGGATCAAGTGCATCGCATACTGTACATCCAACAAGAATTTTGGAAGTGGTCGAAAGACACATTGGGAGGTATGGTGTTAATATTAACGATGAGTGCAATGGTTGTTGATGTTTCCGATGGTTTTTCTTCGAAGTAAAATATTCTTTATTAGGTGTTCTTGTATTCCAAATTTATGGCTGTTGTACATGACACTAATTCGTAGGGCAACAATGGTTGGCTAAACTAGCCGTTTTTTTAATCCCCCCTGCCAGAAGCTAATAAATACTCTCAACTTGATCAAAGTTTCGTCTGTGTTGTGTATGATGAGGAAGAGAAGAGATTAATCAATCCAATTTATTAAATTGATTTATTATTAATTGATTAATAATAAATATTTAACCACTAAATTTCATGTTTTAATTGATTAATTAATTGAATTTATTAAATTGGTTTATTATTAATTAGTTCAATTGAGTAAATTAAATTGGATTTAAATTATGATTAAAATTACATATGTTTTTATGTATTTATAAAACATGTTTAATATATATATATATATATTGAAAGTTAATTAAATTTATTGATTTAATTATAAAAAAATTCATTATTGATAACCTACTTTTGCTTAACCAAGTTATACTTGACCCTTGTCAATCTCAGCATAGGTTGATAAGTCTTAAAACATATTAAAACCCTAAATATAATTTTATTAATGAAGAGAAGACTCAACGTTGTAAGCTAAAACCCCAGAGGCGGAGGGCAGAGAAGAGGATCTTCCATCACCATGGCTACGAGTTTGACTACTAGGAATGGTCAGATTGGCATGAACCTCCCTGCCGCCGCCAAGCTCAACATTCCATTACCATCCAAAGAATGCAGCAACTGCAATGGTCACGCTCCCTTCTTTCTCCACCAAGTTCGCCATTTAGGCATCCTCCGCCGCCTCTGCACCGCTTGTGTCCTCCGCCTCTACCCTTCCTCCTTCTGTCCTATCTGCATCTCCTTCTATGCCGGCTCCCCTCCCCACCCTTCCAAACGCGACGCATGCTCCAACTGCTGCTCCATCACTCACTCTCACTGCGCCGGAGACACCTTGTTCACCTCTTACCTCTGCCCGCCCTGCAAGGAGTCTTCATTCTCTTTCTTCCCTCTGCTAATGTTAAAGCATATCAGAGTGGTAGCAGTGCATGGTGAATGA